GCGAAGCAGCTTGTAGAAATTCGACTTCGTCAGCTGAGCTAAAAATAAAAGATTTTCTCATGTCGAATGTTGCTTAACACGGAGTATGCACAGCAAACAATAAAATGCACTGGTAAGCGCAATGTCTGTATTGAGTACTTGTAGATTTATTATATTAATCATCTGATGCATGCAATCCTTTGTAGAATGATGCCTTCTCTCCTTCTGTTGCACTTGCCACCTCTGAGCCAGCCTCAGAAATGGATGATGGTACTACATTGGCTCTCAACCTTTTGCATGGGTATTGCTCTAATGAAGATTAAACATTTATTGACGAATCAATCGAATCAATCACTTGTTTTATTTATAGAGGAGATATATCTCAAGGCAAAAAATTTCATGAAATTTCCAGCACCTAATTATGTTACCACACAAATTTTGAATTTTTATGTAAAAATTGTATTTTGGATATTTCTCAATTAGGCCAAAACAAAATATAGGTGTGGTTACCATTTCATGCTGGAAAAAAATAGGGTAGGTAGGTAGGGAAAACATTTTATTTTATTGAAACATTTTATTTAGGAACCATGTCCGAAGGATGTTGCGTTCTCACAATTTGTTGTAATTGCAATTTGTGCTAAGTTTCGATATGAACGAGTAAATAATTTTCAGTTATTTTATAAATTACTAGTAGAAAAACTTTATAAAAATGATATAATATCTAATTGCTATTTGTTGTCACCCATACGCTACTTATTATATGGTGTGTGACTTGTTTATACCCATTGACGTTTGTACAGTGATGAGGTGTTCCAGAGCCAGTCTCTTCAAGCTACGATTATTGGTCATTTCTGCATGTTGCAGTGCTTTGTCTAGTGCTGCTTTGATCTCACTGTATGGCCTGCTACCTTTATCTTTGTAGTCTGTGTATTGTCAAAGTTTGAATTTTTAACACATATAATATGACATACTTACCATATAAGAACAACTAATTCTCCTCTTATTATCCTTGCATGTTTAAGCAATACTGTATAAGTACTTTATAATAAAATTACTTAGCTGCTAAACTTGATGTCCACGATTCGTGATATCACCCACAAACAAACTAAAACCAATGATGTGACATGCATCACGCATTAGTCAAGTAACGACAGACACAAACCTGCAATGTTCAGCCAAGTGCGGCACTCTTCCGTCACATTGCCACGGCGACAAACGAGTTCCTTCTCGGAGCACTCAACAGCCTCTTCAAACTGCTGCAGGTCTGCGTGTGTGATAGCCAGTGACACGTACCTACGCAAACATATGCCTTGTACAAATGTACGCTTATTATGAATGCACACCATGCATAAGTCTATATCTTGTATGAATGTATACCTTGAATAAGCTCATGTCTTGTATAAAAGTATACCTTGAATAAATGTATATTTAAAAAAAGGTATGCCTTGTATAAATGTATACCCAGTGCTCGAAATAAGGAAAAAAATGTGGTTGTCCGCGCCAGGCATCAAATCGGGTTGTCCACAACAATTTCTGGTTGTCCCAAAAAAATATCCCCAAATCTCATATTTTCAATCACATAATAATATGGTCAGAAAACACCCAAAAACACTGGTGTAGCCAGGATTTTTTAACAAGGGGGGCCAAAAACAGCGACCTGCACAAAATAGTGGACGACTTAATATTTTAATGGCTCGATCCTCCGCCTCCCTTTCCACACCCTACGGCTCCTCTACCTCTCAGCTCTACAATCTTTGTTTTGGGCACCATGCAAAAAGGCGACATTTTTGTTCATTGTTCTCTGCTCCCAAGATATGTAATTGTTCAGTGGCGGGTCTAGGATTCCAAGGAGGGGGGGTGAAAAACAAGTGGGGGGTATGGGGGTCCTCCCCCAGAAAATTTTATAAATGTAGATCGCAGGAGATGGTATTTGCAACACCTTTGAGTACATGTACAGCCTTCATAGGCTGTACATGTACAGCCTA